TCTAAAAGAGTTTTAAATTACTGATTTGGTATCGTAGGTGTGACTTTAGATGATGCAGAAAGGTGGTACCTCAAATTTGCGACACAGTGCCTTTTTACGTTCGCGTTTACTTTTGGTTTCCTGACCTTTTTTGCGTTTCCGTTCCCTTCGGCTTACCAATGAAAACACAACCGAAGGCTCATCCCGATCCGCTGAATCCTTATCTTTTTTCTTACGTTCACGTTTACTTGGCCCTTCACTTTCCCCTTTTTTTTTCCGTTCACGTCTGCTTAACGCTTCTGAATTTTTGAAATATTGCATATAAATATAAAAGTGAAATAACTGCTCCTATCATTTCTGCAGTAGTTATTGTTTAATTCAGCTACTAGATTAGTTGAGTACTGCTTTCGTAGCATGAGATATGATGTATGAAGTAACAATTATCCTGAAACTAATAAACAATAAAGAGAGTCGTTGCTCGTTTACAATTGGTAAATGATAAAATTCGAAGCAAAATAAGCAGACTTAAAAGTTCACGTATCATTTTAATACCTTTCCGCCTAAGCGGTGTACCCCCAGTATCCCTTGTTTGACTTTCCCTTCTATTTATAGCTGCTTCCCGTACCTCCTTTTGACGTGCCTTCTGAAGTGTAGCAGTAATGGGTATATTTGTGTATAATTTTGTAAGAATGTATAACAAGTTCTCATAGAACTTGCACCAAAGGGGAAAATGAAGAAGGGTCAAGCAAACGCTTGTAATAGTAAGGATAATGGTAACTTGAGCTGTTATTAGCCATTACAACATATAAAAAGAATGTGAGGGAAGAAGGCTTATGATTGACCATTTTCCGAAATTTTTCCATCATCATATTTCGGTATTCCATTTTGTTGGTAGAAATGTTTGAACACAGAATTGTCAAGAATCCCAACTCGATATTAAGCGAAGCACAAAATAACCATTTCTGTATTTCTGAGATCTTTTATACTGCTTCACAAAAATTTTCATTGTATCAGATAGCATGCAAAATTTTTCAAGTGCAATAAAAAAAATTTGCATAATATGATAAGATTGATTTCTTTACACAAATTATGCATATTATAATGCAAAATTTATTAAAGAGTAGTAACGGAGAATTTTTTAGCTAATTTCATTTTGAATTTGTATTTGAATAATAAAATTCATATTTTTGCTTTTTAATATTTTTCAGTGTATGCATTACGCATTACCAAGCAACGAAATTCACTCTTGATTACTTGTCATCCTGACATTCATAATCATTTATTGAGCTTTTTTTGCTAAGAAAATAATAAGCAATAAGTTGTCATTACTTAAGTGGACAGAAGAGTAATGAGATTTTCTCTAGAAATTATTTTTATTCCGTTCGTTGAATTTTAGGTGCTATAAAAAGCATCAAGTATTGAATATTTGAAAACAATTGACAGAATTCAGCGTTTATTAGAATTTGCACTGTAAAAATAAATGCGATTGTAGTTTTTTTCTGAATATGAATATGTCGTTGACGAATTACGAATTAAAAAATATGAATAATTTTTTTGTGCGTTTAAATTTCCAATATGCCATATTTTTATTTATTTCTGAACCAAACAAAAATTTAACTATAACTTTATGCTACTTACTATAAGGTAAAACTTTAAAATTTGTTGAAGATAATAAATGAGACTTTAGATTTAATTTAAATTTTAATTCTAATTACTATACATAGATAACATTCAAATAATCTTCATAATATAATATTGATTAAACTTTTTGTGTAGAAGACGAATAATGCTTGCCTTTATGATATGGTAAATTATAGACATGCTAAAAAAGTCTTTAGACGATTTTTTGTTGCTATAGCTTTGAAATTTTACAGAAATTTTCTTGAAATAATGTAACTTATTTTCATCTTTTCGATTTATTTCAATGTGCATATATTTTCATTCTCATTTGATCTAATTAAGCTAGCAATATGATGATGAATTGAAACATTTTTATTCGAACATATAAGAAAATAATCAGCAAGAATCAGTTACCATGAAACAAACATTGTTAAAAAAGTCATCCTGAAGTCATTAAGATGCAAGAAAACTGAGTGATATATTGAAAATATGACAATCAAATGTAATAACATAACTATAAAATTTGCTCATGTTAAACAGGCTTTAAAGTTTTGAGGATTAAATAATTTGCAATTCGTGAAATTCTGAAAAATTGTTCGAAAAATTTTTCAAAACCCTTATCTACTGTTTCATTGTTTGTTATTTATCCCAAACACCTACATAAAATACAGAATTTTAGTGCGTGAATTTTTTGTTTCTGAAGTCCTTGGGCAACTTTCGTTGCTATTATTTGTAAGATATTCTATTTTTATAAAATGCTTCTATAAGTTTTTTTTTTTAATTGATGCTTATATTTTATCATATGTATATATGTACAAAATTTTAATGTGATTTATTATAAAAAATGTAGTTGACTGAAACATAAAATTATAACAAATAAGGCCAACAGGCGTGGATAATAATTGTATATTACTATTGCGTTACTTCCATTGCAAAGGTCATCTTCACAAAAACATATTTTGTTGTTGGTTGTTGCCACAAAGTTTTGCACTAATTCATCAGTGTAACAACGTTCAGACATTTGTCTTGCATATGGTCGTTTATCAATCCACATATTATTCCAACAATTACGATAAATGTACTGATCACCTAAAAAATCACTTTTTTTTAATTTCATTTTTTTCAATATTTTGTTTTGAATGAAGTAGATACGATAGATACTTAAAACTTTATTTTAAATTAGGTCAAATCAATAGCAGATTTAACCTAATTTAAAATGAAATTTGTGATACTTACTGAAGCTGAAAGATTATTTAGCTATAATAATTCTGAAGCTGAAAGATTATTTAGCTATAATAATTCTGACAAAATACAAGTCTGCTTGAGATAGCAAACTATATAAATCTAAAGTAAATTCACACTTTAACGTGTACATTTCATTCTGTCATGCATGAATGCCTTATTTAAATTTCACCTCAATTCACTTATGATTAATTTTTAACTGCTACAAAAAAAAAACACGCTATCAGTTCTAATCAAATCAGCTAACTATGCAAAATTAAATTGATCATACTTTAGTCATTATTTTTTTATACTTGTGTGTTTCAATGCATGCAATAAATTATTAGTAATAATTTTGAATAATTTTATTTTTTTAACTAAAAAATATGGATCACATTCTAATACGATGCTATTTTAATATTTTTCTATGAAACCATTAGCATTTCACAAAACGATTTATAACTTTCAGTAATTGACCTATGTCAAATAAATAATTGCTGACGAAAAAAAAACGGATAATTTGTGTCCAACATTTCAATTTACCCTTTCTTTTCATATTGAGAGTCAACACTTTTTACGATGTCAATTTTATTTGAAAAGAAACTGACGTCAAAATTTTCTATTCAATGAACATTTTGCATTTAAATTTAATTTATGCACAAAAAAATTCACCATTATAATGTCCTTTGAGTTTAACACAGGCACCAGCTTCAGTGACAGTATTTGGGCAGAATACCAAATCCACTCCATAATAATTTGGTACATTGAAAGAATAAATTTCTGCACAGTTTGGTGAATATTTTGGTATAATTAGTCCACCCTAAATAAATAACAAATTGTTTCTTTTATTAACTGACGGTTGAAAACTTTTTAAGCAAAGAATAAAATGATTTTTTGATTGCAATAAATTCAACAGCTAATTCATAAATAAAAATATAAATAATTAATTCTTGATATTTTAAAATATTTCGTTTCTTTCAATTTTTAGCTTTTGATATCAAAAAAAAAAAACACTAAAAATAATACATTTCATGAAAAAAATTTTTGAAGTTAAAAATGATTGTCATACTTTCTGAAGCGTTTTATACAAATCTGTGACATTTGTGCTGAATTCTAAATATATCCTGCTTGATTGTTGTGAAGTGTGATCACGTATAAAAGCCAGACATGAATAACAAACCACCTGACCTTTTAAACGACTTTTGAATTCTTGTGGAGAAGGCGTATTTATAATGTGACCAGCAATTGCAATTGCAAATGCTGCAAATTTTATTTTTAGACATATCAGTCTTATCAAGGATATTACTGAGTACTAAGATACTATCACTGTTACATTCAATAATGTGTAATTTAAAGAAATAAGTCAATGTTTCGACCAATAAGTACAAGTATTTGGTCTGTTTTGAAGTTATTTATACTTAATGTAAATAAAAAATTATTAAGTCTAACCCATAAGTAAAAATGTGAATAAAGCACCAGCAGCATCTTTATAATTAGGGAAGCTCCGAATCTTCATGAAATAAATTTAACAACGTTTAGCCGATACCATAAATAACTCGTTAAATTTTGCATTATAGCTGCCAACTTTTTCATGAAATTAAAAATCGTATCAATTAGAATAAATAACAAAGAAATATTATTATAAATAAGTAAGCCTTTTTTAACTTTTATCAAAAATTATGCAAAGTCTCATTTTAGGTTATTTACAAAATTTTAGAATAATTGTAAAAAATGAAAATTTTTTTCTACGCAAATTAGGAATAATTGTTGAAAATGTATTGAAAAAAATATTTCAAATTTGCGGCACAACAAAAAGCAAGAACAAATTTATTCATGATTTATTACACGTTTAATTAAACGTTACAAGTAATCTCAGCAAGAAAATTTTTGTAAAAAGATTACTTTCTTCTGAATATCGTTTCTTTTTAAAATGACAAAAAGTATAATTTTAATTTTTTAAGAAAACCAATTAATCTATCCGATTTGAAACTGTCACTATTCTACCTGTCTAAGTGATTAATAATAGTGTAATGATGGATGCAAATTTGATGTGTGCTAAGAGCGCCCATTTATTTTATCTGTATTATGTCGAGCGCAATGACAGTTTTAGTCTATAATGAAGTTTACTACGTTTTTAAAATACGAGCACTGTAAAACTTAAATTATATTTTAAAATTTGAAGTAAATGTCTTACTATTCATTTTAAAATATCTTTTCAATAACAGGTAAGAACATACATTAAATAATGATAGATATTTATCAAAACATTTAATAAAATTTAAAATCTAAATTTTTAATTATACTTTAATTAAATCACTGATAAGTTATCATAACATAATAGCTTTTATATTCATTAACTATTATATTATCAGTAGAAAAAAAAAATTCTTTTACTTTGAGTGAATATTACGACAGGCTAAATATTTTAAATAATTTCAAATGATTATTCAATAGAGGAAGAGTGATATGAAACACTACCAGAAATATGAAAATCGTGGCTGATGTGAGGATTCAGTGTTCAATTTGTCTTATTAGTTTTAATAGACAAAACATGTACAAAACAACTTGAATACACATTATTACATCAATGAAATTTTCAGTAATTTGATATTTTGTATAAATTGTACACAAATTTTCATCATTTCATTTCAAAGTATTAGATCATTATACGTTTTATGCTTTTTCCATTACCACTAATTTTTAACTTGCTTACCAAATAACTTACTAACGAAAAAGAAAAAAATAAGTAGTATAGTAGAATTTGAAGTTAAAGTAATGAAATAAAAACTAGTAATTCTAGAATGCGCAACATTTTGAATTATTTGAAACAAAATTGTTGATGAGCAAACATGTTTAGTTCTATTCATGCTTTGTATTATTGTAAATGTATTTGCAATAAAAAATTTTGATAGTTTTATTTTTATTTTTTTAATTTTTTATTTCTAACAATTACACACGCATAATTTGTGATTAAGAGAGCATACGCATAAGAAGAATAAATGTGTTATTCATTCAATCATAAATTTATTCAATGCTATGCTTTTTTTTCTTGATTATCACAATGATTTAAAAATTTTATTAAGTGAGAGTGCTAAAATCAAATTGTTATACGAATAAATTATGATAAATTTATTTCACTTTATATTATTACTCATTTTTATAGACTATTTCTAAAAATAGCTCATATGATAATAAATATTCTAATTAAAGATTAAAAAAACAATAGTGAAAGACTGAAAAAAATAATAATTGTAATGAAATTGTAAACATTAAACAGTAATATATTAAACAAAAATAATATACTAAATGTTTGTTATAATGATAAAAGAAATTGAGATATGATTTGCTTATTATGATAATGAAAAAGAGAAGAAGTTATGAGATAATAAATAATTTGCTAAGCACTCATAACTCTGCCAAACAATCTCTTCTGCTAGTCTCAGCTAGAACTATTTTCAAGTTTTAGATGAATAAGTAGAATAAATTTCCACAAATATGAAACGCAACAAATTGATTTACATCATAAAACAAACACGTTTCAATATGTCTTATGAATAACTAATGATGACAAACAAAAAATGATGAGTGCTAGATAGTTAGCCTTGTTACTTTTAAATCCCTAATAACATATTTTAGAGTAATTATTGCTTAAAGAAAAGAAATTAGCAACACCATTATTAATTATAAACAATAACTTTTAATTACATTATTATGTTTTGTATTTTATAGTACTCACTCAATTATTTCTATTATTAAACTTGTAGCTAAGATGTAGAGCAATAATAATACGCTAAGAAAATGACTGAAAAGTTTTGTTGACTACTTAACTTAGTACAATCAAATGAATACTTAATGAAAAAAAAGTGTTTGTGTTAAATCGAATAAGAACGTTACTGTTGATTGAATACTTCTCAAATTACAGTAGTTATTTTATTTGCATACAAGAAAAGAAGTTTGAAGAAATAAAATAGTAATAAAATTAAACTTAAAATTAACAAAATAAAATATTAACGACAGTTTAATACTATTTTTGTCAAAGGAAATTGAGGTAAAATGAAAAAATTTTGCATTCATATCTACATGGTTTTACACTTTTAACAAGAATCAAATTTTGATTAATGGTTAAAAGTCAGTTTTATTTATTTGCTACGCTATCTTGAATGAAAAACAAAGTAAAGATATTTATTTTTTTAATATAAATTTAAAAAAATTATTTTATTAAAAATGAATGAATGATAAAAGTAAGGAAGAAATGAATGCATTACACTTTGCTACAATGATTATAATCAGTAATTAATTAACAAATACTAAATTCTGGACTTGAGGATTTCACTTTAGCTTTTTCCGTCAAAAATGAAACAATCTGAGATTTCCACTCATCAATAAAATTTCAACTTAAACATTGATCATGAAGAATAGATAAGAAAAACTTGCGTAAAATTTTCATTCTGAATTTTTGAGAATAAAATAAAATTTGACCTACTGCTGATGAATAAAATTTTTGTAGCACATATCGATACGTAAGAGCTTTTTTAAAAAAAGAAAATTTTTTGTTTATATGAAATTGTTCATTTGAATTACAAAATCAAATGAATACAAAAAAGACAAATTAATTCTGAATTTAAATAATTTTAAAGCTTTAAAACTTTTGATTTATTCCAAATTATGTGAGAATGTGTTAATTTAATTTTTTAAATATTGCAAGCATAAATGCACTGCTAAATATTTAGATAGAAAAAAGCTAAAGTTTAGAAACAATTAAAAGCATGAATGTAATATAAATATATAAATGAATGAATGGATAAATAAATATATAAGTTCTTGGGTAAGCAAATAAATATATAAAAATACATATATTTATCAACTACTTATTTATTGCTTAATTAATTAGCTTATTTAATATCAACATTTTGATTTTTTCTTTTTTCAAAATTTCAGCTTCTTTTTTCATGTATATTAAAAAAAAAGCTTGTTGATTACTTTTATTAAAAATTGAAATTTAAGCACTTAAGTTTGAATTAAAATGCTTAAATACGTAGCAATGATAATAGGTAGCAAGTAGAATTATATTTTACATACATAATAATTACGTTTGACATATATAATTATTACCTTTGACCTATAATTATATTCTGATATTGTCTTTTCTATATACATGCATCGGAATGTAAAATGACTATATTTTGATCAGTCTAACTTTAATAAAAACTAAAAAAGTTTTGTATGCAATAATTTGTAGCAAAACATGACAAATTTTTTGATTCAAAAAATAATGATAAATATTAAAATAATAGATTGCACTATCTAGTTATTTTGTAGTATAAACTGAAAAACATGTCTTGAATACTAAGAGAAAAACAAGTGTGGATTAACAGACGAGAAGAAGAGTCAAAGTTTAAAAAAATGTGTAGTTAAAATTGCAAAGTACTTACTTACTACTACTCCCATCCGTTTGCTTGCACTATTTGTCGGTAAATATTCAAGCAGAAAAATCTGAATTTTAGTCCTTAAATCTTACTTTAATAGTAGTAATCCAAAAAATTTTTTTGATTAATGCAAAAAAAAAAAACAAAAACACAATCATTCGAAGAGTTTAACTTTTCTTAATTTTAATATAAATTACAAATAAATGCACAAAATAAATAAATACTTTAAATATTTCAAAAATTTAACCAGTCATTAACTGCCTGAGTGTAGAAAAGCGTAAAAAATTTGCAGCTATGAATACTTAAGAAGTGTGATAAGCAAAGTATTCTTGCATTTTATAAATATGAAACATGTTATTATAAAATTCTTCTTTAAAGTTTATCCTTATTTCTTTCAGTTTTTCAATTGGTAATTGATAATATATTCATGAAAAATTCAAAGAATTATTAAAATATGACTATTTGAGAGGAAAACAAAAATTTTCAGTTTGACTACTTATTATTTCATACTATTGAAATAATTTGAATGGTATAAATTTTCAATTCATTATTTGTTTGAAGTGTTATCATCTGTAAATCAATCAGATTATCAAGTCAATGATTATATAACAAAAATAGTTTAAAAAAAAATAATTTTGAGGGCAAAAATAATTTAAATTCAAAACTGCAAAGCATAAGAAACAAAATAAAACATTCTGTAATTAAAGCATAAAAGTAATCAGTAATGTTCTCTGCTTGGTAAAAATATAATTTCAAGTCGTATTTCAAAAGAATAAAATAAAACTCAACTAATTAAGTAGTAAAATGAAATAAAAACGCTTTCTAAAATAAAAGATTTTGTATAAAAAAGAATAATTTTGCTGTATTTTCACAGTTTGTCATGTAAAAATATCTTTCTGTAGTAGAAAAGAAATATATTTTATCAGATAATTAATTTACATATATATACTACAAATAATTCTTACAAAATTGTACAATAATAAACTGCTTGGGAGACTTTGCTATTTTTGTTTACAAATTTCAGAACTTCATGAAAACATGTCTTATTTGAACTCAAAAAAGCAACGAAAGCTAACAAGGAATTCGAATCATTCATGGATTTAAATAATCATTTTTTTCTTAC